GGTCTTAGTATTATATAGTTCTTTTTTTTAATGTGCTTTATTTTGTGGCTAGGGTAATAAACATAAGGAAAAAATACGTAACAAATAGTTTGCAAAGATAAAAGTGACTAAATATATTGTATGGTATGCTAATAAACCTGTTAACCTTTGCTATAAAAAAAAGTCAGAAATTCCTCTTTTATAGCATGACTTGCTCTGACCTGTAAATAACATCCTGAGCTTCAGCTGTGGCAGGTGTCCTCTTATCCCGGTTTCTTACCAGGTCCAACCCAATAAACAGGCCACGGCCCCTAGAAAACAAGATATATGACCTTCAGCTTTGAACCTCCTGGCAATGTGTGTTCTAGGCATACTTTCATCAGCACTATTACACACATATTACTGTCACAAACAACCCAAGGGAAATGATTTACACAACTTGCAACATAAAGAGGCCAGGCAACTTCAACTTATGCAACCATAGGTTCAAGGTTCCACCGTGGCACATTATCACTCACATGGCCTTAATTCACACTGCAAATTTTGTTGATGTATGCACAAAGAAACAATAGCTTTTAGTATCTAACTTTGTATAATCATCCAATTGATTTTATTATTTTAGAAGTTAAGACTGGTTTAACCAACCTCACGTCACCCACTAAAAGGTGTCTTTTCTTCAGATCATACAAAAGCCGAGTCAGGTAACCTCCGATGTGCAGGGCATTGCCTTGGAGATCTTCCTTCTCAATTACATCCAGCACTGCCAGTCCAATAGCACATGATACTGGGTTACCGCCAAACTAGAGGACACAAAGACATTTTTCAGCATCGTAAAAATTTCTAATCTAGGGCCCGCATCTGTTGCTCACACCTCTGTTAAAAATGCAGATAGTTTTCTTTTTTAAATAGGTTGTTGTTGTTTCAGTCTTAATCTGTATTTAACACAATATGTTTTTTTTCTTCTCACTGTGTTGAAGTACTCCATTCCAGATGACATGAAGCTTTCGGCAACCTCTCTGGTGGTGATCACACATGACATTGGATGGCCATTTCCAATAGGTTTGCCCATTGTAATAATATCTGGTACAAAATCTTCTCCCTGTAGCTGGAAGCCCCAGAAGTGGGTGCCCACCCTGCCAAA